CCCCAGCAGATGTAGGGAGTGTGGTGAGATAATATTTCTAAATAGGATGTGGGTTTTTTTCCACATAGTCTCACTTTAAGCAGCCAAGCCTTTGTGCTTATGCCTCAGTAAAGGGATGAGACAGCAAAAACCAGGGGGAAAAAATGGGAAGCCCCTTCTGGCTTTTGGATTTTAATTGCCTAGGCCCTTAATAAAACAGAAAGGACTCGAAACCTATACAAGAGATGCAGGGACAACACCTTGGATAAAGCCAGGCCTCCCACTGGCATTACCCCCAGCAGACAAGAGCCAGAGGGGAAGAAATAAGAGCACAGAAGTCGGTGGGTTCTGTCCTCAGGGACCTCAAGCGGTTTCTGAGATCTGATAGCAATAGGGCCCCACCCCAACATCCCAGGTAGAGCCTCAGAAAGGAGACCCGGGCCCAGAAAGAGGAAATGACTGCTGAGGGTAACCTCTTTTGGAGGCAGTTGGAACCCTGACAGCGTCACACGCTCTCTCGCTACCCCAGAATGATTCCTATGCGTGCAAGACTAACCTGGGAGTAGCAGAGACACCAGACCCAAAGAAGCCATGCAAGCAGGAACCAGGCAGTAGACATCTCAGTGGATACCTGGCTGTCCATTTAAGAACAAGGACCACTTCCTCTAGTGCTCTGGCAAATACATATAGGACACTCTCCCAAGATTCAGGCAATCCTTTGGAGAAAGGAGGGGCTACTCCTTCAACCGTCTGAAACTAAGTGTCCACCACTCCCAGTAGAAATGTAGGCATATTACAGAAAAACAACGTTATGTTTCCTGCATCTCTGAGTTGGTAGACTAAGATAATCCCTCTGTAAGAATTCTGGGGGGGAATAGTTGGAAACCAGCAAATGTCCGGCTAGGAAATTGGATAGAGGACGCCCTCCACAGATGTAGGGAATGAAGGAATGGGAGCAAACTGAGTGGAGAATGATGAGTTGAAGGTTTGGATGTGTCGAGGGTGAGATGTTGATGGGGTATCCACAGGTATGTCGGGAGGCAGCCAGGTAATGAGGACTGGTGCTCAGGAATGAGGTCTACCTGAAACTATGGGTTGTGGCGTCATGGGGTCCACACATGCAGCAGCTGATGGGTGAGTAGCGGATCACAGTGATCTCGTGCTCACTACTGCTGAGTTTTTTCACGCATATTAACTCATTTAATCCTCAAGGCAACCCCACGGGGCAGGTCTTCCTACTAACCTCATTTTTTGACATGTGACGAAACAGATAATCAATGTTTCAGGCCTCGGAGCGAGTAACCAGAGGAATCAGAGGTCACCCCAGGAAATCTACAATCTGCACATGGGACAACCACATGCTATAAGCTAGACTAGAAGCAAAGAGGAGAAGGGAGCTGTCAGGAGGAAAACCAGAAAAGCCTTATATCACAAAACCCAAACGAAGAGAGGACTTCAAGGAGCAAATGGTGGGAGGCACCAAATTTCCAAGAGATCCAGTAACTGATTATAATTAAACAGGCCCACTAGGATTGCACATGGGAGCTCGTGAGCTCGTAATGCCCGGGGGAGGGAGGTGTCCTGACATCTGGGAGGGAGAAGACTCGTGGGCACCGCATGGGCCGGGAGGTGGGGAAATACGGGGAGCATGACTCTTCCAAGAGAGCTGTGAAGGGGAGAGGGCTAGAATCTGCGTCGAACACGGTCATTTCTAAAAGGAGAACAATTTAAGAGACTATTCCACGGCAAAGGGGAAGTCAGTAGAAGATGAAAGTTTTAAAGATACAGGCCTCGGAAGCTGTGACAGTGACCGTGAGCGTGAAGAGAAAGAACACTGGAGACACCTTCAATCCCTGACTTTAACCTCACACGGGCCCGGGATGCTGACAACCACACTGTACTTCCACAGTCGGGCCGTTGTCCCGCTCTCTGGCACCGTGGTTCTGAGGGCTGTCCGCCCGCAGCTTCTGCAGCACCCAGAAACTTGTCAGAGATGCAAGTTCTCCTGCCCACCCCAGACCTCCGGGATCAGAAAGTCTGGGCGGGGCTTTAACAGACTCTCTAGATGATTCTGTTACACACTCACGTGAGAACCAGTGCCCTCGACAACCCGTTTATAACTCCTCCTCTCTCTTTAAATGTCCACACACTCCCACTTCATCCTCACTCTCAGCTGACCTTGCCTCCTATTTCACTGAGAGAAAGAGACCATCAGGAAAGGTGCTCTCTCACTTCCACCACATCCATCGGGGGCCCCGCATGGTGCCTTCTGTCTTTGACCTTTGGATGGAAGCTTTGTGCCCTGGCTTCTGTACTGGATTCTCTCCCTTCCCACCACCTCAAGGACGTTGCTCGGGCTCTTCTCTCTCCCCCACATCACCAGTGCTTGCTCTGCACTGGCTCTTTCTCATCAGCATACAAACATACAGTTATTTTTCCCATTTAAAAATGTCTCTTGGGGCTCCTGGGTGGCTCAGTCGTTAAGCGTCTGCCTTCAGCTCAGGTCGTGATCCCAGGGTCCTGGGATCGAGCCCCACATCGGGCTCCCTGCTCGGCGGGAAGCCTGCTTCTCCCTCTCCCACTCCCCCTGCTTGTGTTCCCTCTCTCGCTGTGTCTCTGTCAAACAAGTAACATCTTCTAAATAAATAAATAAATAAATAAAAATAATAAAAGTTTCTCGACCTCACTTCTCCTTTTACTTCCCACCCAACCTCTCTCCTTCCTTTACCACAAAACTCCTCCAAAGAGTTGCCCACACTGTACCCCATCCCTCTCCTCCCATTCTTCCTTGAGCCCATCCACAGACTTTCACCCCACCACTCCACCAAAACCTTTCTTGTCAAGGTCACCAACGCCCTTGGAAATCAATTCCCAGACTCGTGTTACTTAATCCATATACAGCATTTGACACAACAGTTCTCTCCTCCACGGTAACTTTCCTTCTTTGGGCTTCCGGTGTAACACCATCCCTCAGATTTTTTTTTCTCTACCTCATAGCCATTTCTCAGTCTCTTTGATGGTTCCTACTCAATTCTAAAGCCATTTAATGTCAGAGAGCTTCAGGATTCAGTCCTGGCACCTCTCTATTTTTCCTCTCTTAGTGACTTTCGTGGCTATAAACAATACCCACGTGTCAATGACTCTCAATTCTTTATCTGCAACGCAGACCCTGCAAAACTTGTACATCCAACCGCTTTCTTGACAACTTGACACGCCTAATAGATACCTCAAACTTAATATGTATTAAACCAAGCTCCTGCCCTCCCCCCACCCCACCTTCTCAGTTAATGTTCAAACCAAAAATTCCTCCCTTTCTCTCATGCCAGCCACCTCACCCATCAGAAAACATTGGCTCTACGTTCCAAATACATCCAGAACCCAACCACTCCTCACCACCCTCCTGCTACCTACCACACTGACACCACCATCCCTCACCAGATCATTTTAGTGACATCCTAAATGGGCTCTTGCTTCTACTCTGGCTCAGATGTGTTCTCATACATCAGCTGAAAGGATTCTGTTAAAACAAAAGTCAGATCCATGTCCATCCTCTGCTCAAAATGTTCCAATGGCTCCCATCTCAGAGTAAAAGTGGAAGTCATCAAAATGGCCTTAGGGTCCTACGTGGTGCAATCCCTGCCTGCTCTCATCGACCTCATCTCTCACGCTCCCTCTCTTCACTCCAGCCACACCGACTCTTTTGCTCTTCCTCAAAAATGGCAAGTGTGATGGGGCGCCTGGGTGGCTCAGTTGGTTAAGCGACTGCCTTCAGCTCAGGTCATGATCCTGGAGTCCTGGGATGGAGCCCCGCATCGGGCTCCCTGCTCCGCGGGAAGCCTGCTTCTCCTTCTCCCACCCCCCCTGCTTGTGTTCCCTCTCATGCTGTCTCTCTCTCTCTCTCTCTCTGTCTCTCAGTTAAATAAAATGTTTAAAAAAAAATGGCAAGCGTGTTTCCACCTTACCACAACCTTTGCATTTACAGTCCCCTTCTGCCTAGAACATTCTTCCTAGCTAGATAGCCAGATGATTCACTCCTTCACCTCCTTCAGTTCACTCAAATGTCATCTCGTTGAGACCATCTCTGATGACACCTTATACACTCTGTATCCCCCCCCCGTTTTATCTGCTTCCATAGCTCCTACTGCCATCTAACATACTAGAGATTTCACTTATGTTGTTATTGTCCTCTGCTTCTCCTAGAATGCACACTCCTTGAAGGCAAAAGTTTTGCCTGTTTTGTTCACTGCTGTTTCCCCTGTGCCTAGAAGGGTACCAAGTACATGCAACAGCTATCCATAAAATGTGATGGAATGAGGGCCCCAAGGGAGTATGAAGAGTTGAGATCAGAAGGGATTCACTTTCGACAAGAAGAGGGAAGCCTCCTCTTTCACTGCCCCGGAGCGGAGGTAAGAACGGACTCAGATAGGTTTGAAGGCAGAACTTTAAGTATTTCCCTCCTGGTTGGCCACAGTTTCTCTGGGACATAGAAGACAAGGAAGGACTTGAGGAGAGTGGAGATGGACAGCTTTGGCAGCCATGGAGAACGGGAGAAGGAGCTGAGGACACTTCGAAGGACCGACAATCCAGGTGAAATTGAAAACCTGGGTTTGCCTTGGCACCAATCTACCTGGCTGTGCGATTTTCTTCAACACCATGGGATATGCAACGAATGGGTGTGTCAAAGTTGTCTCTCGGCTTTTTCTTGAAAAAGTAAAAAGACTCCCCTCCACGACCTGAGTGCCTCTGTTTACCCACTCAGTGCGCCATCACCAATCATCACCACAACCACTGGTTTCGTGTTAGCAAAATGAGCAGAGGGTGTGTTTAAGAGCAGAGAAAAGGAGAGGCAGAAGAACAGGCCCCCTCCCAGACCCGTGGGAAGGAGCCGGACCATTTAGCCTTCCCTCAAACCTGGAAATTGATATATATAGCCTAGGGCTCAAATTCTGAGCCTCCTCCCCAACCCCTCCTCGTCCCCAGTACCTTCCCCGCTGTCCCCGTCCTGCCACATACCGGTCCACTTCTTGTCGCGCTCCACCCCCTCTGAGCTCGCGCGCTTTTCCTCCACGTGCTTCTCTGTATATACCGGTCGCCTGGGAGACCCCGGCCGGGCGGGGCTCTCCTGACGCCACAATAGGAACAAGCCAATAGCCGTGACGCGTCTCAGTGACGCGAGACGCGCGGCGTGGCTTTGCCGGCCGGGGCGCAATGAGGCGGCTGCCCGCTGGGTGGCGCCGATTTCCCGGGGAGGTCCTTACCGGGCCCCCGGCGGAGGTGGGGGAGAGGCGGGCAGGAGCCGAGGCCAGGGAGCCCTCTGCGTCAGCTGCTGCTCACCGCGCCGCGCCAGTACCAGCCGGGACTCACCCGCAGCTCCATGCTTGTGCCCGGCTCCGCTCGTCCATCCTCGGAGAAGAGGCAGGTACGTGCCACCTGTCGGAGACTTAGGGAGGCGGGATGTGGAGGTCAGCGCCGTTGTTGGCTCAGAAAAGTGAGGTGTCAACGACAGCCTGGGTAGAATGGGCACCAGACATGTAGAGCGAGCGCCAACTGTGCGGAGGAGCTCCAGCTGTGGGTGCCAGTTGTGGGAGGGGGGCTGCCAGCTGACAGCCCAGGGTGCCAGGAAGAGCCATCTGTGTGCTGATCAGTGGGTTCTAAGGAAATGCTGCTTGGGCAGGTCCGCATCTCTGTGCCCTGCGCGGTATATGGCCTAAGAGTGACGCCTGGACACTGACAACCCCTTCCCCACGTTTGCGTCTGGTTCACTTACTCCGCCCTGTTAAAGCTCCTGGGGGCTGTCTCTGGTCAGTTTGCCAAAGGGGTGAGGGTGGGGGTAGGGCAGCAGTTAAGTGGAAGGGGAGATTTTCCACCAATCCCAAACCAGAAGGAGGCATCTTTGAAATTCTCACCAATCCCAAACCAGAAGCAGGCACGCGGTGCTCCAAGGCGAGTAACTTCTACTTAACAGGCAGGGCAAGCCCTTGGCCAACCCATTCTAGCTGTCCTCTGGGGAGTGAATGTCTGCCTCCCAATCCGGCTGCTTTTAGAATGGGGCTGAGCCGGAGATCGTGGTGATGTTCACCTCCCCAGGCATGTTCATGAGAAGGTTCCCCCAAGTCCAACCCTGTAAAGTGGAGGAAAGGAGAGCTGGTTGGGCTGGGGTTGGGGCATTCCCCCACTCCTTTGACACTGTAGATGCACGCCAAACTGGAGTCGGAATGAGGACTGGAATGAGGGCCGGGGACGAGGGCGTCCTCTGAAGTGCATCACCGGGACCCAAGCTGAGTCAGTAGCTTCTGCTGAGACAGGGTGGAGGCACCATCCTGGGTACTCCCAGTCCTCAGGGAGAGCCATCGAGAAACAGGAGACACAGACTGGGAGCAGACAAGAGCACCAAGGCCCAAGAGGTTAAGAATCCTGCTCCGTCCTCCTGTGAGCCTGCCCAGCCCAGCTCTGTGGCCTTGGAATCCTGAGCACTCTGACAGGTAGAGTGGAACCACCCCAGAGCACCTTTCTCCTGGTAGCCTCGGGCAGCTGGGCTTGCTATATTTTGCTAGGCAAAGGGGGAAGGAGCCAAAATAGGCCTGGCCCTTCTCCACTGGATGGGCTGGACCTCTGGGAATATAGCAAGAGTCATTTGCCCTTGCCAGTTATGGGATAGAAAACCATGGGGCTGTTGTCTGGCATTAGAACAGAGCACTCCCAAGGGGTGGCCCAGAGGCCCTATTCTCCCTAGGAAGGTTTCCGTGGTAGGTGCTACTACAAAGACTGCCGCTAATTAGAATAATGAGTGGAAGTATTCAGTATAATCATTATTGTCATTTATTGAACTTTTACCGTGTGCTAGGAAATTTACAAATATTATGTTATTTAATCCTCACAACTGTGAGGTATAGCATTATTATACTTTTTACTCCTGTTTTACAGATTAAATCACTAAGGTTCAGACGGCTTACATGACTTTCCCACTGTCTCAGAGCCAATAGAAGGGAAAGAACTGGACTACAAGCCCAGGCGTAGAGGTCCATTAGAAAAGAGTTTGGACTGAACACCTGAGGGCAGGTCCCACCTGCCTCTCACTACCTGTGCGCCCCCCGGATCTCTAGGTCTACTCCACCTCGAAAGGGAGGATTTGGACTAGCACCAAGGCTTCCTCCTCATCTCTCCATTGCACCCCCATCCCTCTATCCTCTTTCCACTTGTCTCGCCTTGGATCCCCCTTCTGTTCCACCTCAGAATGTCCCCCTTCAGAGAGCCCTCGCACCATCTCCTCGCCTGGCACTGGCCCATCAGGGCAGCACCTCGAGGGAGGGCCTGCCACTGCCCCTTTAATTCTCCCCAGGCTTGGAATGCAAGTGAGTTGAGCTCGCCATCTCTGTGAGGTCAGATAAGATACTATATATATCGGAGTCGGTAACCTGAGCTCCGGATTACCCAGCCCCAGTCAGACTCCAGCCTCTGGGCTCTCCACCGCGCTCCCTGCCTCTCTGGGGAAGAAGCAGCCCCCAGATCCTGTCCAGGGCCCCCGGACACAGGTCAGTAGCTGCCCCTGTACTATGCGAGCTTCATGGGCCCACTGTCCAGACAGCCCAGTGTGTTTGGGGGAGCATGTGATAGGCTGCCCTACTGGGCCTGGAGGGTGCTTGGGGCAAGACGGGCGGCGAAGGCTCAGAGGAGGCAGGCAGGGGCAGCAAGGACAGAGGAAAGACAAGGCCTGGGGGAAATGGAGGAAGACTGGGACTCTCCCCTGGGGTGGGGACACCAGGAGACCCCCCAACAGAGAGTGATTAGGAAAGAGAAGTTAAAGATACCAATACCGCCTGTAGGCCCATTCCTTCGCCTTTTCTTGGAAGTGCAGAGATGGCCACCCCCTTCAAATCCGAAATCAAGAAGCGTGCTATTGAGATACTACCCTGGGCCCACCCCCTCCTCCACCACTCAGGATCTCACCCTCATCTCCAGTCTCCCTCACCCCTTCCTCCCTCTCCCAGCCCTTGGGCAACTACTGGGAGCAAGAGAGACAGAGCTGGACCCAGATTCTCTTGAATGGTCCCCTGCCAAGGCATGCAAGAGGATTAGGCACTAAACTGGTAGGCTGCTGGGTGCAAGCCCCTGAGAGACAGAGCTACTAATGATAGGCTGGAGGGGAGGGGGCAGACTGAGACTGCCGGGGACTGACAGGTGTCCACAGAGCTCCTGGAACACGCAAGCGCAAACAGCCCCCACCTGGGTCCTCCACCCAACCTGCATCCACCACACCTGCCAGGACATCCCTCAACCTAGGAGTTGATGCTTGTGCCCAGGCATTGCCCAAGCAGATAGGAGTGAGGGTCAGAGAGTGTCAATGAAGGGAGACAGGGCCCCTCTCTTAGCCCTCTTTATCTTTCAAGGTCAGCACATCAGCAGTGCCTCATTCCGGGGGTGTTAGCAAGTGGCTTTGGGAAGTTCTGAGGTCACCACTGTGGAGGTTCCCAAGCACCTGGCGGGACTGGCTGGGACTCCCCACTTACCTGGCCTGGACACCTGGGTAGGAGGGAAGGACTGATCTCTGTTGAGGTGCACCTCTGAAACCCAGCGAGGGGCTCTGTATCCAGCCACAGTAGTGAGACCACAGAAGCCGACACGCCTTCACCCCAGAAAGCAGAGTGGATCTGGGCAGAGAGGGGCCATGAAGGCTGCTGGGATGTGGGGCATTACCCATCCCCTACCCTGGGGGCCAGGAGTGCCTGAGATTCCTGGGGAGCCAGTCCCTCCCCTGGCTGGGCAGGTTAGGGAGCCCTTCAGGTGAGCAACAGGAAATGACAGTTGCTGACGCAAGGGGGGGGGTTGGCTGCCCCAGGGAGACAGGGCTCATTTTAACCCCTGACTCATCTAGCCTGGGGACCTTGGGGAGTGGGCCAAGCTGCAGCAAGGGTAGGAGGCTGGGGGCCATGTCCATAACCAGGCCTCGGGCCAAGAGCCCTGGCTGGCGCTAAATGCCAGTGCCCGGGAAACACTCGGGAGCTCGGCGCTGTGGGTGAAACGGAGGCCTCCCGGACCATCTCTTGGCTGATCAGGATTGTACTGGCGCTCGGGTTGCACCTGGCTTGGCTTTCATTTGCCCGCAGTGGAAACTCGAAGGGCCGCCTCCTCCGGGAGCCTGTACCTGCCACACCGTGGCCTAGACAGTGGATGCCTGCGTCCTCCGGGCCCCGTGCCACAGGTCCTGCCCCGTGCCAGCTCAGGGAGAGGCCAGGGAAGTATGAGGTGGGGGGCGCTGGCTTCAGGGTGGCTGCTAGGGAGGCAGAGCACAGGTGCCAGTCCCACGCTGCCACTGCTCGTGTGCGTGACCTTGGGAAATCCACGTCACTTCCGCCAACGCTGGTGTCCTCATCCGCCAGTGGGCATAAGGATGGCACCCACTGCTGAGGGCGATCGTGAGGATTAGCACATTGGTACGTGGTGTCCCAAAAGTCTTCGTGCAGTTTCAAACTTCAGGAACTTCAGAAACAGGAAAGCTAAACGCTTCATTTAAAAGTTTCTTTACTTCATTCCCTATTTGTTGAATTTCGAATAAAAATACTAACTTCGATTTAATGTAAATCATTAAACCTTCACACGATGCTTCTAAGTTTAAATTCTTTCTCCAAAAGAATGAAAACCTAAAACTGTGCGGAGGCTCTGGGGACGCTGGGCAGGAAGTGCTCATAGAGGAGCACCGGGCAGGCAGGCAGTGCTCCAGGGAAGGCTGCATGACCCGCAAGGAGCTGTGGGTGAAGCGCTCAGCACAGTGCCTGGTCCAGAGGTGTTCGGTGCTGCTGGCGGGTCACAGTCGCTGGGCTCACGTGTCCTTTCAGGAAGCTGAGCACTCTGTGCAGGGAATGCAGCTGCACCTCCCAAGAGGGGGAAACTGAGCAAAGTGAGGGGAAGTTCTGGCAGAGCAGGGAAGAGCGGAGGTGCCTGGTGCCTGGGGAAGAGACGACATGAAGGAGGAGCTTGGCAGGTGGAGTGCCCCTGCTGTCCGAGGTGGCGGGCACCTGGGGAGGAGTTGCCTAGAGCCACATGCCTATACTTGCCAACTCTGGGTAAACAGCAAAAGGAGACGGGCAGCAGGGGCCCCATGCCCGGCAGAGAGGGAGACGGGGGATCCCAGCCAATCGGCTTGCCTCCCACTGCCCTATGAAAGGGCCATTCAGTCCAGGCCGTTCCTGTGGCAACGAGGAGACTCAAAGCCATGTGAGTGCCCATCCTGTCCCTATCTTGCGCAGCAAGGCTACAGCCTGGGCCCAGCCTGCTCTCCCACCCGTGGTGTGTTCTGCGGTCTCCAGGGACAGCCATGCCAGGTAATGCCAAGGGGCACCAACCCAAGCTGTCTCAGCTCACCTGGAAGGTGTTGACACTTTTCTCAGGAGTGAAACTAGGGGTTAGGGAGGGGAGAGGCATGCTAAAGGCCTCAGCCCCAGTAAGGACCCTCTGCCCAGACAGGGGAACTCTAAGCCCGGTGTCAGCACTGAAAGGCAGCTGCCAGGGAGCTCTTGGTGATGGCATGACCCCCCAGGGCTTCTGTGGCAAGGTGGGGAGGGGGGATGGTCTGCCACTTGCCTGCCAGATTGGAGCAGACAGGAGAGCGGGGATTTAGGAGGCCTCCTGGGAGTCAAGGTGTGACTCCACCTCTAGCCCCAACCCTTCCCAAGGAATACTTGCAGGCCTTCCCAGGGCTGTCTGTCCCTGTCCCTTGTACCTTGTTTGGCCCCAGCACTTCTGCGTCATTAGCGGGGCCAGGAGAGGTCACGAGTTTGGGGCACTGCCTGCAGAATACCAATTCCCTGGGAGCCTTAGTGTGGAGGAGGAGGAGTAAGAGCCATGGGGAGGAGGCATGAGCTCATGCCCCGGGGGGGGGGGGGGCAGGCCATATCTGATTGGCTGCCCCGTGTCCCAGAACCCAGTTCCTGAGACCTGGAGTCTCTTTTACTTTGAATTATTGATGGAGTTTCTCCAAAGTAAAATAGAGCAGGAGTCGTCCCACACCCCCGTCCCGGTGCCTCTGTCTGTGTCTCCCCCAGCCTCCCTCAGCCTGCACGCTCTTTCTTCTCTGTACCCCAGAAAGCCAAGCAGATGGAAGGAGAGCTGTGGTTCCCCTCTTACCCTGCACAAGGTCCCCCTCCAATTACTTATTCCTAGAAAGTAGTGGGAGCTGTACTGGAGGTGGAAGCGCAGTGGGCAAGGGCATGTATATGAAGATGGGGGTCCCCAGGCCAGATGGGAAAAGTGTAAATGTAGACCAGGCCTTTCTGAGCCAGCCCAGACTGAAAACTGCTGCTGGTCTCTGGCAGGGTCTAGAAGTTCTGTTCTGGGATCCATATGGAGGTTGCCACCTGCTGATCTCCCACCCTTGCACCTATCCCACGCCCTGCATGGACTGAGTTTCTGGGGCTCTCTGCCAAGCCATCAGCATTTGGGGCTTGGCACCAACTCCTCTCTGCCCAAATGGGCGGGGCTGCCAGACTGGGGCAGGCTGTGGGCTGCCCGAGCCAGTGTCTGCAGCATGGCTAGATTCTGCCCACCGCCTGCTCATCCACACATCTCACTGAGGGGTGCAAGGGAAGCCTGGCACCCTGGGCTGAGGTCAGAAGCAGGCCAGGCTGGGAGACAGCCAGCCCTGACATTATTATAGGCCTATGAAGGAGGGGCCCAGAGCCTGGCAGGGGTTGGGGGAAGAGATGATAATCACTGTCAGAGTTGAGGACTTCCACATGTTATTATCTCATTTATTCCTCGCAACAACCCTGTGAGGTAGGGACCATAATGATGATGATTATACTCATTGTACAGGTGAGGAGATTGGGGCTCGGAGGGGCTGAATGCCTAGTGCAAAATCACCCAGCTAGCCAGTCATGGGGCAAGCCGAAACCAGCCCTGTACCACTACTCTGAGGTCCCTGGAGGTCCCTGCCCCCACCCCGCAGGAGCCCCGCCCCCCGCCGCGGTGGCCCCCCCCCCCCCCCCCCCCCCGCCCCCCCCCCCCCCGCCGCCGCAGGAGCCCCGGCCCCCCCGCAGGAGCCCCGCCCCCGCCGCAGGAGCCCCCAAGAACCCCTGATGTCCAAGGGTCCTGATCCTACCTGTTCCTCCCTCCAAAGCACCCCTGCCTGCCCCCCAGCTCCATTTTAGATGAAGCCTCACACTTAGGGTGATGGGGAGGACTCTGGTGGTCCCCAGGTGAGCCTAAACGTGATGGGGAGGGGTGAATCAAGGTCCAGTAGGAAGAGCACTGGGCTAGAAACCTGAAAGACCTGAATACCAATCTTGGCTCTGCTCGCTGTGACCTTGGGCAAGTCAGTGTCGCTGTTCCCATCTGTACAACGGAGACGTTAAAGTAGAGGACTCTTGGGTGCCTGGGTGGCTCAGTCGTCAGGTCACGATCCTCAGCAGGGAGTCTGATTCCGCCTCTCCCTCGGCCCCTCCCCCTCCACTCATACTCTGTCTCTCGCTTTCTCTCTCTCTCACATAAATAAATGATCTTAAAAACACACACACACACACACACACACACACAGATGACTTTAGGACCCTTACAACTCCTCAGAGATTCCTGTGTGCCTTCACCAGACCCTCCCCAGCGCCAGCCGCGGGGTGAGGGGACAGGGGGTACTGCCTGTAGTGAAGGATTTTAGCCTCTAGGGGGCCCCCTTTGCGCAAGTGATCACCACGAGCCGGTTGACTTGGATGTTGGTAGAGGGACCCCTGGGAGGTCACAGGACCCCAACTCCACATAGAACACGTGAGTTAGATCCATAAAGAGGGTAGTTTCTGTCACACGAAGATTCCCCACCACAGCAGGTGACCCGTGTCCAGGGAAGAACTGTGGGATTAGATCTGGAGACTGAGGTCAAGTCCACTTTCTACCACATGCTCACTCACCACCACCTCTCCTAGCCCCCACTGCTTCCTCTCCTGAGCCTCCTTTTCCTCACCAGGGATCTGACCAAATGATCCTCGGGCCATTCCAGCTCAGACAACGTATGATTCCAAAAAGATTCCTGCCCCTCCTTTCAGCCGAAAGAATTAAGGCTTAATTCTTAAAATGTCCAGCATTTTCAATCCAGGGATTGAGGGCGGTAGCACCTCCCCCGAAAGCTGAAGAGAGGAAGCAGACGAGACCTGGGCTAGAATACTATGGGTCACCTGCAGGGCTGCTGAGGGAGGGCAGCCCCCACTCTCATGTCTGGGGCTTTGCAAGGGAGCACTCGGAGCAGCCTGATGACTGACGGCCCTGTGTGGTTTGTAAAAGCCGGCTCACGTCTTGTGCTCTCACTCAGGTGTGAATACACGGGTGCGTGTGTGTGTACCCACGTGCACAGGTGTGTTTCTCAGCGGTGGGCCAGCCCCTCGTGGAAATGGACCGTGTGGTCTCTGGGTGATGGTCCCGGCCAACTGGGGATGAAGAGCACATATGAGGGCGCCTGAAAGTGGCAGGGCCCTCTGACAACTGCTTTCCTTGCCTTTCAGCCCATGAGGCTCCCAGTCCCCACTGAGTGCCGCCCTGAAGGATGTCCCAGCTCTCCTCCACCCTGAAGCGCTACACAGAATCGGCCCACTATACAGAGGCCCCTTATGCCAAATCGGGCTATGGCACCTACACTCCCTCTTCCTACGGGGCCAACCTGGCTGCCTCCTTCCTGGAGAAGGAGAAGCTTGGTTTTAAGCCAGGCCCCCCAACCAGCTTCCTCACCCGTCCCCGTACCTATGGTCCCTCCTCCATCCTGGACTATGACAGGGGCCGCCCCCTGTTGAGAACTGACATCATCGGGGGCGGTAAGCGGGCCGAGAGTCAGACTCGGGGCACTGAGCGGCTTTCAGGGAGTGGACTCAGCGGGGGCAGCGGATTCCCTTATGGAGTGACCAACAACTCCCTCAGCTACCTGCCTGTGACTGCCCGCGAGCAGGGCGGAACCCTAACCCAAAAGAAGTCGAACAGTCAATCAGACCTGGCCCGGGATTTCTCCAGCCTCCGGACCTCAGATAGCTACCGGATCGACCCTGGGAACCTGGGCCGCAGCCCCCTGCTGGCCCGCACGCGCAAGGAGCTGTGTGCCCTGCAGGGGCTCTACCAGGCAGCCAGCCACTCGGAGTACCTGGCCGACTACCTGGAGAACTATGGCCGAAAGGGCAGTGCGCCTCAGGTGCCCATGCAGGCCCCTCCCTCACGAGTCCCCGAAGTCCTCAGCCCCACCTACCGACCCAGTGGCCGTTACAGTCTGTGGGAGAAGAGCAAGGGCCAGGCCCCTGGGTCCAGCCACTCCAGCTCCCCAGGGCGAGAGACCATGGTGAGTTTGCCCCTTGGGGACCCAGTGATGGGCTGGGGAGGCAGCAGATGATGTAGAAGACCCAGATTGAGGGAAGGACTCCCCATCTGACTGATGATCAAAGGCAAAGGTCTCCTTCCCAGACCTCATGACAGCTGCTCCTGTAGCCCGAGCCGGAGAGGCCATCTCAGCCTGTCTGGTACACTTGCGGCTCGGTGCCTTGCTCAGGGGCCTTCCCACTCTCCCTAGGAAACCCATTTCACGACCCATGCACTGGACACCGATCCAGCAGTGCTCCCGGAAATGCTCGGCTACCCCCGCATACACTGCAGTGCTCACCCTCCACTTTGCCACCCAGCATGCCAGGGTCCCCCGCAGGCCCTGCACCACCCTGGACTGAATGCTGAGGCCCCCAAACCCCCACCAGTGCTCCCTGTGGTAAGAGAGGCCTCCCTACTCTGGCTGCATCTCTCCTCCTGCTCGGGCTTTTACTTCCCAGCCTGGGGACCTGGCTTACCACTCGGGCATAACACATCAGGGGGAGAGGGGCTCCCTTCTGATGGGCACCAGTCCCGGCTCAGGACCAGGATATCTGGACGGCAGTGCTTTTCATGTGTCTTTGGAGAAAATGCTGGAGACATTTTTGTCTAAGGCTTTAGACAATCCCATACCTCTGTATTCCAATCCTGCCTGGCCTAGAATGAGGGAAGAGGCTCTGCCAGGGACAGTAAGGGCTGACTTGCTTCTAATCCGTGAACACACCTCTCTGGGGCACTGACTACATTCTGCCTGTTCTTTAGTTATTCGTGTACCCATCAGGTGGCAAAATCTCAGAGGATAAGAAAGAAATCACATCCCTAGATGCCTCCCCATGTGCCTAGCACCGTGCAGAGTTCAGCTAACCTACTGATTGCACGGATGGGTGGGTGGATGGATGGGATAGGTGGATGGATGGATAGGTGGGTGGATGGGTGGGTGGATGGATGGGTGGGTGGATGGATGGATGGATGGATGGATGGATGGATGGATGGATGGATGGGCGGGCAGATAAACAAGGCAATGGGCAGGACAGCTGGGTGTTGTGTTTCCTTCATTACCTTATGTACCAGTCCCCTACTTCTAGGACAGATGCCTTTTGGAAATAATAGCTGTGCCACAGCAAGAAATAAATGCTGCTTAGTGGGCCTGTCCAGATAAATGGAGCAGGGGTGCAAGATAGGTGCAGGGCTTTGGGTCATAGACCTTAAGCTTGTCATAACTAGAGGGCTTGAGGGGACAGCTTTGATAACGTTACTTAGAGAGTCTTGGCCGTGCTGGGCTGTCTGTGAAGGGCCGTGGGTGACACAAAAGTTGGTATCTCCCAGGGCATTCAGAACCTGACAGGGCACGGCCGGCTACGTTGGAGGGCTGGTGTGGAAGACAAGTGGGGGACAAGAGACGTGGCCTGGGAGAAGTACGTACTCTCAGAGGGACATGTGGTTGGACTGGAGCATGACTCACTTAGATGTGTCTGGTGTGGCTCATCTCGGCGGCAATCAGAAAGCAGCTCTTAGTGGATGGGTCCTACAGGCCGCTGGGAGGCTCCCTCCCTTTGCTCAGAAGAGAAAGGTTCTTTACGGTACACAGTGTTCCTCAAAGTGAAGTCTGCAGGAATTACCTGCAGGGCTTTATCATTCAGGGGCCTGGGCCCCACCCAGATCCCCTGAATCAAACTCTCTAGGAATATGCCTGGGAATCTGTCCTTCTTATAAGCTCTTCAGGTAACCTTTAAGCATGCTGAGGTTTGAAGACCTGCTCTCCACAGACTCAACTACAGACCCACGCTCAGCCCCAGTCATGAGAGCAGGGTCTTCTCCTTTACGGGGGGGGTCAAACTCCATTGGCGCTCTGCCTCTTTCTCACACAGACGTACCTCAACCCTGCCCCCCTGGAGTCTGCTGCCTTCCCCCCTCTCCCGCACAGGAGACACCTCAGCCCCTCCTCTACCTCCAGGGCCAGATGAGGAGAGTTTTGAGAGAGGACCTCAGAGGGGTGGCAGATTGCCCTGGGACAAACTCAGCCACCCTAACATCCCTCCTTCCCATCCAGAAATAGCTCACAGCACACTTAAGGAGCTAGGAACACCCTAGAGTGCAGCTAGTGTCTCACCCTAAGCTCACACTCAAGAAGACACTGCCAATGGGCAGGGCCCCTCATGGGGCCCCTGATACAGCCTCACCCCCCCCCCCTCGCTGTTCTCAGCCTTACTTCCTGCGGCCGGCTCCATCTCCTGAGGTGAGAACAATCCTGCCCGGGGGGCCTGCACTTCTTTCTAAAAGTGGGTCCAGTGTCTTTTCAGATCTCCATTTGGGGTGCTAAACTTCACATTCATTTGGGGGCTCAGTTTACCAGCAGTGCCACCTCAGAGAAGTTGCTTAACTTCTGAACCTGTTTCCTCGATAAAATGAGAGTGTCCATAGTTCCCACTTCATAGATCATTGTGAGGAATCAAAGGTTGTACGGCACATAGTAGGTGCTCGATAAATGTTAGTCCTCCTTGTACCCTTCTAGGTGCTTTTGGGGTGGCAAGAAAGATGCAAGCCATGGTCCCTGCCCTCGGTGCACTCACAATTTACTTGGGGAAATAAGTTCCTATAATAGTTGCAATAGGAGGCAGCCCCAGGTGTCATTAAGTGTCCTAGGTGGTGGGAAAGGGAGGGGTCACCTGAGGCTGGAAGGAACAGTTTGCCTCTTTAACCTTAGGCACCTCTCATCTGAGCTCTGTTTCCTCATCCATAAAAGGGATGGGTCGTACCTGCCCTGCCTACCTCACAGGCTGTCATGAGGCTCAAAGCAAACAGTGGACGTGAAGGAATCTGAAACCTATAAAATGCTATGGAAGAGTTGGTAGAAAAGGAGAAGACAGAAAGGGGGCATTTGGCAGCTGAGTGGAGCGGGGAGGGGACCACCCTTGTATCATGTGGCAGGGTCCAGTGTGATCTGACCCCTCTGGGGTCCCCTGGGGTGGCCCTGGCCCCAGGGGCTCTCCGGGTAGCCGACTTGAACTACAGTTGACATTCACAAAGGAAAGTCCTTTGTGAGGCCCCAAACAGGGAGGAGAACAGTTCTAACCAGGCTCATTCCCCTCATTTATAGTTAACAGCCAACATGAACTTAGAATATTACAGACTCAGCTGAGCGTAAGTAAAGGACTGTTACAGGGGGGACGTGAATCCTGAAAACCCCCCCATGCTTGCATAAGCCTCAACAAAACACCAGTCTATGGGGGGGTGCAGCTCAGCCTAGGATAATGAGAGCTGCCCCAGGCTCCACCTTCTGTTTAAAATGAGCTGCCCCAGGCTCCACCTTCTGTTTAAAATGCAGACTGATTGAAGGGGAGGGACTGATAGTTCAAAAGTGGCAAAAAAAAAAAAAAAAAAAAAAAGTTTTTTTCACCCCCCCCCCCCCCCCCCCATCCATCACCTGTGGGGACTCCAAGCCAGGCCAGGTGGGCTGGCCCCCGCGGAAAGCCAGGAGCCCGAGCGCCCAGCACGGTTACGGCCCCCCTCCGCCCCACCTGTCCTGTCCCCTATGGAAGGACAAGCTGTTCCCACTGAGCCCTGCCAGGGCTGCGCTTTAAGCCCTGCAGCCCATCCTAATCCTCCTGCGCTCCTGCCCTCCAACTGCTCCCTCCCCAGCCCTGGCGTTCTGCCTGCAGCCTCAGCCCTGCCCTCACACTGCCCCTGCCCTGCCCTGCCCAGGCCACCCTCTGCTCTCCCCCCAAGAAACGCTGCGGTTGGCCCAGGGCCCTGCAGAGCACAGTCATCAGGCCGAGAACCTGCTGCTCAGACGCAGAACCAGGGAGCGAGGCTCAGAGCCTGCCCGCCTATTCTCCCCACGCAGCCTCTTCCAAACCCTTGCCCTCTGCTCTGAAACCTGTTGCTGGGAACCTAGAGTACCTGGGTCCTATTTGCCAAGGGGCTGCTGACTCATCTCCCGAAGCCTCGGGTTCCCAGCTGTTCAGTGACAGGGAGATTATATAAGCGGAGGTCATGTGATTTTACTCTCGGGTGGGACTTTGAACTTAACTGCTGCCTTGCAGTGAGCAGGGCTTCCTCCAAAGAGAACAAGTCGAAGGCGGCAGGAACTGTCCTCGAGGCCCCAGGGGAGAAGTGGAGAAGCGTGACCTTCCTCTGTCCTCCCCTGCCTCCTCAGTCTGTTTATTCAGCCACGCTGACGTGCCTCCCCGCTGTCTTGTTTGTCCGGCTTAGCAGCCTGAGACCCTGGGGATGCCCTCACCCACTCAGGGGCCCTGAGGAAGCTGAACTTCCTGAGGGCCTGAATCTCTGTTGACAGCATGGGAAGGTCGCTCAGAGGAGACCTTAAGCCAAAGCGTCCCTTGGCCGGGACCAGTACCAGCTGCTGAGAAAGGACAGGCGCTCTGGGCTTGTGTTTAGAGTCAGCAAGGCACCCATGGTCTCCATCCCTTGAGGCCAAGGCTGTGTGCTGTGACCTGGTTGGGGGCCCCAGTGCTGCCTTACCCGGGTGCAGGTGCTCGGCCCACGCCCAGCATTGTCCTCCCTGCCTTCTCCTCCACCCCCGCTCCAGGATGTCTTCATGAGGTGACATGGTGCTGGGGTGGGGCTCAGCAATGGAGAAGTCAATCCAAGCCTGGCAAAACGTTCCCTGCCCATGCGGGAGCCGCTCCACTGACCAGCAGCTACAGAAATGAACATCATGTTCGGGGCCTGAGCTGCACACGTGGCCCCCTGCACCCTCTCGCCTCAATGGATAGGTAAAACTGGCACCCACACAGAAATAAAAGCAAGAGAGGGAAGCGGGTGGGCCTCTGGAATCCAGCCGGTTCAGGCCAGCCTGCCCTAGAGCTCAAAAGAATACAGAGATTTTGGCCTCCCGGGGTTGGAGTGATGCAGGGAAGCAGAGAGCCCTCTGTCCCCAGGGGCACTTGTGGCCTGAAAGCCCAACCCCCAACAAGGACTCTGAGCCCCTCCCAGTTCAGTCAGTCAATCAAGCCACCAGTC